TTTAGATTAACCACCTAACCTAACCTAAGACTAACCACCTCACGTAGAGTTAGTGTTTAATACGGAGGTGGCATAAGCTTGGAGTGGCAGAAGCATCAGGTGATCCAAATAAAGATAATACAGGTGGCGCTGCTGTAACCCGATTGTATTAACACTTGTGCTCCCTGCCTACTCTACCGTGTTTCAGGTGTGTCATATTTGCCTTGTAATGTGGCCGATTATAGACGTCTCATCATGTAGGAATCCACGTTAGTACATTCCTGGTTATCGCCTCGACCTGTTTCTCGGTATATAATATTCTCTTATTGCGCATTCCCGACCTCTTGCCTTGTCTCCGGTTTAGAATTTCATCACGTTACTGCGGAATAATGTTGGAACGTGGGAGGGAAGCATGGTTTGTGAGGGACTACTGAATGGATATCTGGCTGTGATTTATGACGGGAGACCAGTGCCTAGCAAGTGGCCTATGGGAGGGAGGGGGGTTCAAGCGAGAGTCGTATACAATGCTCCTTTTAGTGGTAAGGTCAAGGGAGAGTCTTATACAACGGTCTCTGTTGTGATAGATCAGGCAGGATTTTTATAATCAGTGGTTTGTCGAGAGAGTCAGAGAGTGAGAGAGAGGTAGTCAGCGTGGGGGGAAATGCGGAGTGTAACAGAGTGTAAGAGACCTCTCACAAGCTTGGCCTTTGAGGATCTTCAATTTGAGACACATTATTTACATTCCTCGTGTGTAAGGAGACCTAACATGTGTGTAGATATTGTGTTGTCGGAAGTGAGAGAGAGAGAGAGAGAGAGTTAAACTTATATTGATTAGCTGTAAACAGAGACACGGTCAAACGCACCGAAGCTAACCCACCTGAAGTTAATTAAAGGTTTTACACAGGCGTAGATGTCTAGATTAATGATGATGATGATGATGATGATGATGATGATGATACTGAAGATGATGATGATGATGATGCAATAGTAACCAATAACTTATGCTTACAGTTTAGAGCTGGCGCTAATGACATACAATACCCCAAGGTACCAATGACTTACAATTTACAATGTTACCATGGAATCACATAGTGCAGTGCAACCAAAGCCCTATAAGCCAGCACGAGTGCTTTAATCTAGGTGAACGACCCAGATACAACAAGTAAACAAACGGCCAGGATCAGGCTACTTACATTTGTAACGCTGAAAGGGATAATCCAGAGCTTGCCTTCAGGTACTGTAGGTCTGTCAGGTGGGTAGGTAGGTAGGTAGGTAAACTAGAGAGATTGGTAGGCGAGTTAGGTAGATAAGTACGTAGGTAGGTAGACAAGTAAGTAGCTATCGCAAGTGAACAGATAGCCATACATATGACTGAGAGACAGACAAAGTGATAGACAAACACACTGTCAAAAACAGCTAGACACCATGAAAAACAAACATGCATCTCACAGCGAGACCAACAGAGAAACAACGTAGCACACAGACGGCCAAACACTGTAACAGACAGACAAAACCCTATCAGAGAGACAGACATGGAGGCAGCAGTCAGGGGGTCATAAAGAGAGCCGTGACAAGAGCAACACAGAGATATATTTGGTCATGTAACTGTGTCATAAAGGGAGGATATGACAGGGGGCAACTGTCATGTCCTGCCTCATATTGCCTGCATCCATCCTCACTGTCTGAGGCTGAGAGAGAGAGAGAGAGTCACTTCCTATTTCCTTTAACCCAGAAAGAGAGAGGGAGAAAAAAAGAAAGGACACAGAGACACAACACATTCCTACCCCATCCTCCACCCGTACCCATTACACCCACCGCTAAATTAACTAGGTCAGGAGGAAACAAATCGACCACACACCTCCACCGCCCTGATTCTCACCACACGCGCCATTTTACAGATTGTTCTTGTAATCCTTTTCTAAGGGATAAGAGATTGAATATTTCTCCTTTGGTCGTACTCAGTGCCAATTACACGGAGCTGTGGGGGGCGGGGGATCCGCTCCTTCCATGGGAGGCTGTCTGTCATATTATGGAATAAATTATGTTTGTGTTTACCTTTACTCTAAATGTTCTCTTGTTCTAATTGGATTTTGTCTTGTTCTGTTGCAGATGTCTATGGATTTATGAGTTGAATAAAGCCTTAATAACTGAAGGTGTTTGATATCATACGACAATTTATTCAACTCATATTCTACTAGCAACATGGAACGCATACTCTGCCCCGACAAGCTTGATGTTGATCCAAATTCCCCAGCTGCTTCAAAGGAATACAAGCATAGGAGTAAGACTTTTGAAAACTTTATTGATGAGTGAGGAGACAGAGCGCCTGACAAACTACGATGTTTGACAAAATATGTGTCTGCTACTATGTATGAATACTTTGCTGATACTACGGAGTTTGAAACAGCTATACAAGTGTTGGAAAAGGTATATGTGAAAAAGAAAAATGAGATATTCGCCAGACACCAGCTCGCCACAAGACGTCAGCGTCCTTCCGAAACACTAGATGAATTTCTTCGCGACTTGCACAGACTCAGCAAAGATTGTACTCTAAAAGATGTCACGGCCGAAGAATATCGTGAAGAGTTAGTACGGGATGCCTTCATCAACGGACTGTCTTCTGCAAATATACGTCAACGTCTATTGGAAACTCAGGCTCTCACTCTCTCTCAAGCCTTTGATCAAACTAGATCCTTGGATCTTGCACAGCGTACTTTGGAAGCCTTCCAATCACTAGGCCCTGTCATTGCAGCAGCTTCAGGATGTCTGGAGGACGCTGTTAAGTCACCATACACTAATCAACAAGAGATACGTCCAGTTGAGGACTCAACACTTGCTAGTATGACCACAAAGAAACGATGTTGGTTTTGTGCTACCAGTCTTCATTTACGGGCGAGATGTCCAGCTAAAGATAGTGATTGCTCTTCATGTGGAAAAAAAGGGCACTGGGCAAAAGTCTGTCAGACTAAGGGTAAGAAACAGGCCACGGCATCAATTTCATCTCCCACTCTTTGTGCCATCTCAGCTGCTGTTCCTTATTGCCTGAATTGCTCTGCTACAAACTTAAAGGTAAATGGAAGACGAGTCTCCGGCCTTATTGATTCGGCAAGTTCTGAGAGTTTCATTGACAAGCTTCACATCAAACCCGCTTCCCAAAGTATAACCCTGGCAATGTCTTCTTCAACGGCTTCTGTGATAGGAGAATGTACGGTGGATCTCTATATGAAAGACAGTATTTATCCAAACACACGTCTGGGCGTCATTGAGAATCTTTGTGGTGATGTTATTCTCGGCATAGATTTCCAAAAACAACACTCCTCGGTTACCATAGAGTATGGAGGACCCAGACCTGAGCTCAAGATTTCCAACATTGGTAACAAGCCTGTATGTAGCCTGACATCAGCAGGTATGTCAGAACCACTGTTATTTGCAAACATGCAAGGAGATGCAAAGCCGATAGCCACCAAATCTTAGAAGTTTAGCCCTGATGATCAAAAGTTCATTACCAAAGAAATACAACGCTTACTGTCCGAAGGCATCATAGAATCAGGTACATTACCTTGGCGTGCACAGGTGGTGATTGCAAGAGATGATTCAGGTTGTCACAGAAAACGAATGTGCATCGACTACTCTTCTACGGTGAACATTTACACCAATCTCGACGCATATCCATCGCCAAACATTGAAACCATGGCCAACACTCTTGCTAAATACCACGTGTTCTCAACATTTGATCTAAGGAGTGCATACCATCAACTACGCATAAGCGAGTCTGATAAACCCTTTACAGCATTTGAAGCAAATGGCAGACCGTATCAATTCACACGTGTACCATTTGGTGTCACTAATGGTGTTGCCGTTTTTCAAAGAGCCATAGACAAGTTCGTGGAGGAGGAGAATCTATGCGACACATTTCCCTACCTTGATAATATTACCATAGGTGGTCGGGATCAGAAAGAACATGACGCAAATCTTGAGAAATTTCTTGCTGCTGCTGAGGAAATTAAGCTGACATTCAATACATCCAAATCTAATATATCAGCAACATCGATCAAGCTTCTGGGTTATCAAATTGGAAATGGTCAATTCAAACCAGATCCTGAAAGGCAAGAACTTCCACCACCTACAAACCGATCGGCTCTTCAACGTGTACTTGGTAAGTTTGCTTATTACTCTAAGTGGATCCCGGAGTTTTCAGACAAGGCACGGCCTCTCTACAAGGCTAAATCTTTTCCTCTGGACCGTGAAGCTCTCGCAGCTTTTGATGACTTGAAGAAACTGCTTGGGGAAGCTGCCCTAAATAGCATTGACCATGGCATCCCATTTGTTGTGGAGTGTGATGCGTCCGATGTGGCCATTATCTGCTACTTTGAATCAAGCTGGTCGGCCAAGAGCCTCCATGTCTCGGATGTATTCTGGCAGTGAGATTCACTATCCTCCTGTTGAGAAGGAGGCGACTGCAATAATTGAAGCGGTGAGAAAGTGGTCTCACCTGTTGTTGGGATAGCACTTCACCATTGTTACTGACCAGCGATCAGTTGCATTTATGCTGGACAGTCGTAGGAGGACTAAAGTGAAGAAGGACAAGATACAAGGCTGGCGGCTCGAACTCGCTTGTTTTAGCTATTCCATTTGGTATCGGCCAGGTAGAGACAACGTTGCTCCTGACACTTTCACCCGAGCGTTCTGCGGAGCCATCTCATCGTCAAACCTCTTTGTTATCCATGATGGGCTCTACCACCCGGGGGTTGTCAAAATGCTTTATTTTGTCCGGACAAAGAACCTTCCATTTTCTACGGAGGATGTGAAAAAGGTCTGTTCATCTTGTCGTGTATGTGCTGAAATCAAGCCAACATTTCACAGGCCTACTGAAAATACCCTTATCAAAGCTACTCAACCAATGGATAGACTGAGCATTGACTTTAAAGGTCCTCTTCCATCATGCACGAGAAACTCATTCATATCTCTTCACTGCTGTGGATGAATATTCCAATTTTCCCTTTGCTATTCCATGTGCTGACATGACATCCTCAACTGTCATCAGATGTCTGGACACCATCTTCTCGGTTTGTAGTATGGCGAGTTTTGTTCACTCTGATCGAGGATGTACATTTTTGTCTAGTGAATTGAAAACTCATCTCGCTAGTCGTGGAGTGGCGTCCAGCAAAACTACACCTTACCACCCAACAGGAAACAGTCAAATAGAACGGTACAATGGCATAATCTGGAAGTCCATTTGCGTAGCTGCCAAATCTCGAGATGTTCCAGATACTGAATGGGAGGCCCTTCTACCTGAAGTACTTCACTCCATTACATCATTGCTCTCAACAGCCATCAACGCGACTCCACATGAGAGGTTTTTCAATTTTCCGGGACGATCTTGTGAGGGTACATCCCTGCCAACATGACTAACTACGCCAGGTCCTGTCTTCTAACGCCGATTCGTCCTCTCAAGCAAAGGTGACCCTCTCGTTGATGAGGTGGGGCTCCTCGAGGATAACCCAATGTATGCACACATCAAGTATCCAGATGGACGTGAATCTTCAGTTTCCCTCCGTGATCTTGCTCCATGACCTGGTGGAACCTCATCCTCAGACATCTCTGCCGGATCAACCTCACCTTCAATGGAGCCAGAAACATTGAATAATGGTGAGGGAGTTGCTGTAGAGGGAGATACCGGGATGACATTGCTGAATCCTAGTATCATGCAGGAGTTACCTCTTCGTCGTTCTACTCGGCAGCGAAGAGAACCCCCAGCGATACGGCTATGATGTTTGATTGATTATGTGGACAGGGGTGAATATCATATTATGGAATAAATTTTGTCTGTGTTTATCTTTACTCAAAATGTTCTAATGTTCTAATTGGATTTTGTCTTGTTCTGTTGCAGATGTATATGGATTTATGAGTTGAATAAAGCCTTGATTACTGAAGGTGTTTGATATCATACAACATTGTCTTAAGGAATAATTATAGTGGCAATCTTAGTCAGATTATAGTAGCAACTTAAATGACATTATACTGAGAAGGTGCAAGGAATAATCATTGTGGTGTAGATGGTGGGGTGGGGTAGGGTGTAGTGTAGTGTTGGTGGTGTAGATGGTGAGGGTGTAGTGTAGTGTAGTGTAGTGTTGGTGGTGTAGATAGTGGGAGTGTAGTGTAGTGTTGGTGGTGTAGATGGTGGGGTTGTAGTGTTGGTGGTGTAGATGGTTATTCCATCGCCCTCCTACTAACAGTACACATCCATGAAATAAAGGAGGCCAAATATCACTAATAGCTGGGGTGAGGGTGTGAGGGTGTGGAGGATGAAGGGAGAGTAATGAAGATTGAAGGATGTAGAAGGTGAGGAGGTTAGAAGGGAAAGGAGAAGTGGGGTGGAAAAGAGAGTGATGGAAGGGAAATGAAAGGAGTGATTAGCTGAGGAGAGAGAGAGAGAATAAATACTCTAGCTTGGAAGGGAGGAAGGAAACTGGAGGGGGAGAGGGGAAAGAATTAGGCTGGAGAGAGGGAAGGAAGGTGGAAAGAAGGGGCGGAGGGCTGGGTGAGGGAGGCGGGAGGGAAGTAACGGAGATAGATTGCACTCAGTCGCCAAGAAACAAAACAATAGAGATAGCGAGATGACCATTTCGCGGCGTTGAACAGCACAAGACGATTTTGTGTTACATGCATGTTAGGAAAGAACGTTCAGGGTTACGATTAGCGGCAAGACTTATAATAGTATCAGCTACGATGGTTCTAAGGAGAAGAAACCCAAACAGACCTTGTCCTACCCAGTAAAACGCAGCCATATATTACATTCTAGTGTAGTATCTCATGCAAATTCTTATTTTCTTTCTAGTTACCCTTACGTGGTGACAGGAGAAGAGAGGTATTGTAATAATTTCTTGGGTGAGACTGGTCTGTGTGTGTGTGTGTGTGTGTGTGTGTGTGTGTGTGTGTGTGTGTGTGTGTGTGTGTGTGTGTGTGTGTGTGTGTGTGTGTGTGTGACTGTGTGTGTATGTCATTTAAAGTTGAGACAAAGTTAATTCAATATTTTTTTTTATAATTATTCTGTGTGTGACATTTACTGTATGTGAGTGAGACAGTTACACCTTAATGATAATTGATCGTCCTACTCGACATTCTGGTGCAGTTAGGTAAACTAAGCATCTGATATAACAGTTAATTGCCCGATGTCACACTCCCTTCCAATATTACCTCCACCTTCCCCTTCTATTTTACATCTACCCAGTCCCCCCTCTCATTTCCCTCCCTATCCTCTGCCTATCCTTCCTCCTTCCTACAACCTTTCTATTCCTTCCACCACTCCTCTGTTCTTTCCTCCTTTCCCTTCCCCCACAACACACCCTACTTCTATATCTCCCAAAACTACCTAACCTTCTTCACTCCATTCTCTATCTTCCATACCCTACTCTCTCCCCCCACACACACAATCCTTCCCCTTGCGTCTGGCGTTGACACGTTCGCTTGTAAAATACACTCCTCATATTCCCCCCAGTCGGCTCGATTACATTCAGGTCCAGATCTATAATTCCTAACACAACCGCCGACACCCGAGAATTCCAATTATTCCATAACATCGGATTACACCTCTCTCCAGGTGACGTATAGGGTCCAGTGATTCTCTTCTCCCCTCATGGGTCTTGTATTCCTTAGTGGGTCTTTTCTCCCCGGGATGATGGTCCCTTTCCCAATGATCAGTTACTTTATGATTTTCCTTTGTGGGATCGACAGTAAGAATTATTTTTTTATGAACTTAAGGCAACAGTTGAGGAAGGTAATGATGAAAAGTGTGTGTTAGGTTAAGTTAGGCGACAGTTGAGAAAGGTAATAATGAAGAAAAACGTGAGGTAAAAATGGTGCGGAATTTGGTGGCTGTCAGTGAAGAAGTTTGAGTGAAATGTTCTTTTATTCTTACGGTCAATCGTCTTGAGGTTTTCTTTCTCTGTGATAGATGAATAAAAATAAATTTTTTCTTTTTTGTTAAGGTATGAGATTGTTGCGACGGCCTTGTGGATACAATATTTCCTTTGTCGTAGGACGTTCCTGGCTTGCTCCTTGGGAACTAAAAGTCCTTCTACCTGTAAAAGTGTACCTGTCTTTACAGTTGAGGAAATAAAGACTATCGAGTCCCTAAGGTTTAGTATACAGACTGTCCATATCGGGCCATTACACTTATGGAACTCACTTTCATGGCATCTGAAGGCGTCAGACGTGAAAGATCTGCCACACAGGTAAAAATGTTGAGATGTTTGGGGAAGATTGGGAGAAAGTTTGAGTTAAATTTTCACTTTTCGTAAGATCTATAATTGAGGTTCTCTCGTCTCCTGGGGTCCTTGAGGAGGTGCAGCGATAGTGGACGATAACGTTGACACGTTTGGTGAAAACTGGTGAATTTATATAACGTAACGTAACGTAACGTAATGTAACCTAACCTAACCTATATAAAACCCTTTTAAATATGGCGACACAAATTTCCACAAAACTCAATGCTAATAAAAAAATGGTGAAATAATGAAGATTGGTGAACCAGCGGCAGCAGGATCTGAAGAAGAGGCTCACACACGCACCATGACACTCTTCCCGCCATAACTTCGACTCTCTCTACACTCACTAAGACGCTCACTCTGCCAGCCATGGTCTCACACTACACCCATCTCCTGGCCTAGTGAACTACAAGTGATCGTGGGCCCTTCGTGCCAGGTGGCGAGTCCGGTAGTACAGCTTACCGAGCCGTGAAAGTTCGAACGCTCGTGCTTGGCTAGCGGGCAACCGCCGTCCGACTGACAGCGTACAGCGACATCGTTTTCCAGATGGTCGTGGTTGTTATAATCATATTCGTGGTTGTTTTAATCATATGTCGTGGTTGTTATAATCATGATCGTGGTTGTTATATTCATGGTCGTGGTTGTTAAATCATGGTTGTGAGTGTTGTAATCATGGTCGTGGCTGTTATATTCATGGTCGTGGTTATTATAATCATAGTTGTGGTTGTTATAATCATTGGTCGTGGTTGATAAAATCATGGTCGTGGTTGTTATAATCATAGTCGTGGTTGTTATAATCATGGTCGTGGTTGTTATAATCATATTCGTGGTTGTTATAATCATGGTCGTGGTTGTTATACTCATGGTCGAGGTTTTTATAATCATGGTCGTGGTTGTTATAATCATAGTCGTGGTTGTTATAATCATTGTCGTGGTTGTTATAATCATAGTCGTGGTTGTTATAATCATAGTCGTGAGTGTTGTAATCATGGTCGTGGTTGTTATATTCATGGTCGTGGTTGTGATATTCATTTGCCGTGCTTGTTATAATCATAGTCGTGGTTGATAAAATCATGGTCGTGATTGTTATAATCATAGTCGTGGTTGTTATAATCACGGTCGTGGTTGTTATAATCATATTCGTGGTTGTTATAATCATGGTCGTGGTTGTTATAATCATAGTCGTGGTTGTTATAATCATGGTCGTGATTATAATCATATTCGTGGTTGTTATAATCATGGTCGTGGTTATTATAATCATGGTCGTGGTTGTTATAATCATGGTCGTGGTTATGATCATTATAATGAGACACAATAAACAGAGAAGAGGAAGAGGATTACATATATAAGTAAGAAGTATAGAGAGTAGGAGTGGGGCGGTTGGTGTCAACGACCGTCTTGACAGATATTGCAAGTCAATATCGGTCCCATTCATTGACAACTGGGACAACTTCTATGGGAGAAGGGACCTTTATGCTAGGGATAGGGTGCACCTGTCTCGGGATGGGGTGGCAAGCCTGGCTGGGTCACTAGAGGGGGCAGTTCAAAGGATATCGAAGTCTTTAAACTGCTAGGGGAACATATGAGCACGGGGGTGGGGGAAAGTGCAGTGGGAGCGGGCAAACAAAGTAAAAGATTACAGGGAAATAGTGTTAGGAATGATGACAAAACTAAATTAAACAGGGAGTTTAAAACTAAACGCGGTAAAGGGAGGACTCAGAATACGACTAACTTAAATGTCTACTACGCGAACAGCAGAAGTATGAGAAACAAAATGGATGATATTAGGGCCTTGGTATGTACCGAAAAAATCGATATAATAGCATTCACTGAAACATGGATCAACCTAGACTCACGCGAGTTGCCGGTCGAATACCAAATTGCGGGTTACAAATTGTTCCATACCGATGGGCAAACCAGGAAAGGAGGTGGAGTAGCAATCTATGTTAGGGATAATCTGAAGTGTGAAATAAATAAGGAAATAAAAACTGAGCGGAATACAGAAACAATTTGGATAGAATTAAGCGACGGTAGGGAAAAATTAATCACAGGAGTAATATATAGACCTCCCAATCTTGATAGAGTCAATGAGCGACTTATCTGGGATGAAATGCGCAGGGCTTCCATACACAACACAGTCT